ACTCCCTTCACCCTGGCCAAAAAGGCTAAAATGACCAAAGAAAAAGTGGGAAACAGCTAAACATGAGAGGTTTTTGGACAAAGTTTGTGTTCTCCATTCTTTAAGCACCAGCACAGTTTCAAAAGTCCCGGTTTAGTACTGGTATCGGATAAAACCTAAACGATACCCATCCCCAGAGGGCGTCCAGTTTACTGCATAAATGTAATACTGGTACATATAAACGTTAACCTCGAACATTACATAAGCCCAGTTTTGACTTTATTTTGAGATCTGCAGGTTTCCCACCTTCTCCTCCCTCTGCTTTGTTGCCTTGTTGTAGTTGACGAGTCGGATGTTGGCCTCCTCGAAGGGCAGCTTGGCAGGGAAGGGGATGAGTTTGTTGGTCCTGCCGATCTCGCCCAGGATGTCCTCCAGGATCATCTGCTCCTTCATCGGCAAGCCGTTCTCGAAGATGAGGACGATGTACTTCTCGTCCGACTCTGGCGGCGAGAAGGGGTAGCGGTCTGACTTGAGTTTACTTTGACTCAGCGTGAAGACACGTCAATGCCACGCCGCCAAGGAAACATTTGTGTACTCACCGTCTCCTGTGCAGTCGTACCACTGGCCTCCCTTCTCCTTGGACATGTTGAGCTGAGTGCGCAGGCGCTGGCACTCCTGCGGGGTCGTCTGGAAGAACAAGACGGGAAGTTTCCGCACGTTGCACCACTCGCAGCTGATCAGCTCCGACGCCTGAAGGCACACCTTCTCTACAGTGCCGCGCTCTGAGCCTGAAGGTGGACAAATGGACACATTTCAGGAAAACAAACAAAAAAACGAACAGGGACGCCATGAGGGTGCGTTTGCGTAAACAACAACTTTATTTTCACGTTTGCTGAAGCTCAGAGTTTCTGTCCTCCACATGTTTTCATCGGTTTATAAAAGAGAGATCACAGGTTCATTTAAGTGTTATTAATTATTAGGAAATGTACACCAAACACCTGCCCCTGACACCCTGCGGGCTTCCTCCACCCTGATGTCATGTGATTTATTTAATCATTTATCCGATCAGTGGCAGTGTGCTGCAGTTTCAGGGTTTTTTTCCCCCCCTAGTAACAGCTCTGATCTCTGCTGACGAGCACAAAGAGGAAACTGCACAGCTGCATTTCTCTGAAGCAATGTTCAGCGTCCATCATCATCTTCCTCCTCTCTGAGAGTTATTTAATGCCATCATTAGTGCGGCTTCATACCTTCGGTCTCCAGCTGGATGTGCTCGATGGAAAACTGAGGAGACAAAAGAACAAGACAGACTAATTTATTCTCACCGGACTCAGGATTCGATCGGTTTTTAAATTTGAGGCTTAAATCTCAGGTTTTAAAACATTTTTATTTTTACATTGTACATCGGTAGAGGCTAAGCCTACGCTTGAAGCCACTGAGGTGTTCGATGGCAGGGGTGACGCGATGCCACCGTTATGAATTTTCTTGTCACAGTCCAATAACTCCAGCCGTACTTATCGCATCTGTTTAACATCTTTATTGCATTCCATCGGTTGTTTTAGTTATTCAAACTTTATCCAACATCATTTATCATAAAAATCACAACAGTGCAGCGGTCACAAACTGTTTGTTTCTTCTGACCAATAACACCTGACACCAATTACCCGTGTCTACCTTAAATGCAGTTCCATAAACACGCCATACCTTAACACACAAAAAGTGACCCCTAGCGTCACACATAAGGTAACACCACAAAAAATGGCAACTACAATTACGGTACATCTAATTAAATCTGTTTAATTAATCTGCCAGAAGTCTAAATGTGTCATCGTATTTATTATTTATTTATTTGTTTACCAGCAGATTTGTCTACTGTAGATCCTTATAACTCTTCTAATACAAATTCAGTCATTTTTCACATATCAGCAGTTTATGTCTTGTTGCTGGTAAGTGTTTAAAACTCTTCTTAGAATACTAACATAAAAGATCATTTAATGAAAAATAGACCCCTTCATCCCCCACCGCTGATTTTTCTTTTGGTTTGTATAATAGCTTACACTACAAAATTCATACTCTGAAAATCATCCAAGTTAAAGTCCCTGAGAGAACACAGAAGTGGAGTGAAAGTATAAACACACTCAAGTTCTGTGTAAAAACTGCAATCGAATTAATTTCTCTTTATCAGGATTTAATTATCCTAAGCTAACCCAGAGGTTCCCCTGTGTGCTCACATGAAAGGGGTGGCACTGCAGCATCCCAATCACAGTTATGGGTAAGTGGCTGTTTTCACAAATAACGTGAAACTGCACTACGAGAGTGACATGCTAAAGGTGCATGCTTAAGCTCTTTGGTCAGTAAGACATCACTAGCTGTTACTGGGTCCAAATTCTGCTTCAGGTCCCAAAGTCAAACAAACACTGCAGCATCACTGACAGTTACAGACGGTCTACTTTCTTTCATCTGTAATAAAGTGATCAGTGTGGCTGCTCTACCAGGTGTAACAATTAAGTTTAACATCCAGACATCCATGAAAACAGAATTTATGAAATTTAATGGAGTTAGAAGTTAGCTTTCTAGTTTCCACCTAAACATATTAGATACAAGTTCTGAGTTTCTGACTCAGAGATTTCTGACAAAATTAAAACGTACAGCTCTGCCATCACTTCAAATATAAATGGAGACAGAAAACTAAACAGCAGTGACGTTTGTAGGGTTACTGAAGTTGGGCTAGCTCATATATAATGCTGTGCTATGTGGTGGCTAGCTACACGGCTATGGTTAACATAATATAAACACATTGAAGCTGGAGGATGAACGCTAACTTTTTTCCACTTGATAAAAGTTAACGTGAGCGTTCTCGGTGGTCAGGGACAAATGCAATCACATGGCAGGATGCTGTAAACGGACCAAACATCAGCCAGGAGAACAACTGAGATAATCCATCCACAATATGACGTTAGTCATTCATATACTGCTGCATGGGCTGGGCTGTAGTTACATACTAAGGTTTTAAAAACTGAGCTTTAAAACGTGCTGCCGATGAATAGTGGTAATAAAAACAGAGGCCGACGGTGATCACTGAAGCTGTAAGCTGACAGACTTCCCAACATCTCAAAAATTTGACTAAATCAGCGTTAGAAGAAAAGTGTTTCATTTTCATTTCGTTTCAAAGGTCTGACATTCAATAATACAAATAAAAACCAGCATTAAAGTGCAGGCTTAGAGAATGTCAGCAGGAGCAAAGAGCTGGTTTAGGATCAGGTATTAATGCTCATAGGAACAACTAAACTGTTTGAAGCCAATTGGAAAAGATCAAATAGTAAAGCTGCATCTCAGAGTTCTACTTCTTATTGATCGTGAGGGAAATGCAAAGACATCAGACGCTTCACGCCCTCCTGCTCTCTACACACAGATCCGAGGGATCTTCCGGGAATGGTGATGCTATTTTCTGGAGAATTGATTGGTCATTAAGAAAGTGAATACATGGGCCTTAAATGGAAAGCACTCTGGTTGATGTGACCTTTGAAAAGGCACTCTGACGTTTTCTCCAGTGAATCATCAGAAAACACACAAAGCATCTTAATTACCGAAGCTCGTTCGTGTTCCTCTACATCACAGACGTGGCGCAGGTTTAGACTGTGACTCTAAGTGGGTGAAAATTGACTTGGACGCAGTTTGTAAAGCTTAAATGTGTTTTTTCCAGCCCTGAAAATGTAATGGTTCCAGCTTCTGTACTCAGAGGGCTCAAAACGTGAGAAAAATGATTAAGAAGCACCAAATCTGAGACCCACCCTCTGTGAATCTTAACTCTGAAAATCTTCAAATCCTGCACGGTTTCATCAATCAAACCAAAGGTGGTGTGCTGACACAATTCAGCTGATCCTGATCCCGAGACTGAAAACTGCATTTCTATAAAAACTGGAGAGACTCACGACGACGGGCTTCGTCACCATCCTGCGTAGAGATCCCACTCTTACGCTCCGACACTCCAGGATGATGCTGTCGCACAGGCTGGACTCAATTTTGGGTTTCTTCGTCCTCGGTGAGAACTGCTCGGGAGGTTGATTCCCAAACTGTGGAGGAAAAGAAGGAAAAGCATCAGTTATCTGCGGTGAAGCTACAGGAGGAATTGGACGAGCCCCAAAAACATCCCACCACGTCTCACCTGATCTTTCATCCGCGCTCGCCGAGGTATCGTGATCTTCGTGCTCACCATTTCTTCAAAGAAGTCCAGGTTCACCTCCTCCTCCTCTGCGACGCTTTTCACTGCCGCTTCCACCCTGCCTCCGGAGGGCGCCGGAGAGGAGTGAGCGGAGTCGGCGGGTCGAGGGGAAACGCTGTCCAGTCTGTTGACGCTTCCTGTGCTGGCGTTGTCGGCCTCTTCCTCCTCCTCATCACTGGACAGGACGACTGAGGGGAACATGAAACCCTGTTAAACGTCTCTCCGCTGGCTCATTTTCAGCTTTGTGCCTGAAGTGAGCGGAAACCTTTCAACCACACGACATTACTCATATGTGCAAAAAGCAAACCACACAAATCTGGACCTGCATGAGGAGTGATGTAGATTTTCAGGTTGTGTCTTTTCAAACACGGCAGAACTAGAAGCACATAATTTTTCTAGCTTTTTAAAAATGCACTTCCACTGGTGGAATAATTACTGTACATTCTTGCTATAAGCCTTTAAAATGTCAGCTCGGTCTCTCAGCGTCTCCGGTTGATACGAAGCCTCCGATGTTTGAGCTCTGTGCAGCTCTAGCATCTCCACAGCAGCCAAACACGTGGACAAACAAAATGACTACGAATCTGATCCCTCGATGAACTTTAACTCTGAGAATCTTCAAATCCTGCACGGCTTCATTAAACAAACCGAAGGTGGTGTGCAGACATGAATCGGCTAATCCCGATCGGTCACCAGGCAAAAACTGCATTTCTGTAAAAACTGGAGACACTCTCGACGACGGGCTTCAAGCACGAGGACAAACAGCTAATGAAAATAAGTCTGAGAGCTTTCAATCACCGAGTTTCTATCAAACTAAAAATATGAGAGACGTGGGATCAACTTCAGGACAGGCAGTTAAAGTAAAAGCCCAGAACATCTCATTTAATCAATCAAAAGGACGCCTTATCCCAGTATGATAAACTATGCAAAACCCAAAAGTAAACAGGAAGCAAGTCGACAAATTAATCTGTTTTTCCATCCTGAGCCCCCAAAAATGTGGAACTTCTAGGGGAAGTCTTTTAAAGCTTCTATCTCGGAGAGAAAAACAGGAAAATATAAAATGGTAAATGGCCTGTATTTATATAGCGCTTTACTAGTCCCTAAGGACCCCAAAGCGCTTTACACATCCAGTCATCCACCCATTCACACACTGGTGATGGCAGCTACATTGTAGCCACAGCCACCCTGGGGCGCACTGACAGAGGCGAGGCTGCCGGACACTGGCGCCACCGGGCCCTCTGACCACCACCAGTAGGCAACGGGTGAAGTGTCTTGGTGAAGGACACAACGACCGAGACTGTCCAAGCTCGAACCGGCAACCTTCCGATTACAAGGCAAACTCCCAACTCTTGAGCCACGATCACCTGAAACCAAATCCTTCAAAAGCAGAAAAGCCCTCTTAAATTAAAGAGACTACTTGTTAATCTCATTTTACTGTACTTACTTATTTGCAGTTACTTATTAAATATTTTTTACACTTTCCCGTCAACATCAGCCACAAAGTGATGCACGACGAGTGAATTCATCATCTCCACACTCTGCTTTACCTAGAAGCTCGATGAAAAGCTCGGATGCTTTACTCACTAGGATCGTTCAGTTCGTGCTGCTGTGCCGCCGTCGCCGTCCTCGTAGCTTTGGGTGGGTTTCTGGCCGCGCAGCAGCTCGACGTCCCTGCTAACAGGGGTGTCCTCCCGTTGTTCAGAGGCAGCAGGGTCCCCCTGGTGGTCGCGAGCCGTGTTGACAGGGCGTCCCCGCGGGGAACCCTTGCGGTCACGACCGGTTTGTAAAAGTTTTGCTGCAGGCTGTTTGGTCCAGAGGAGGGCTGGGATCTGATGGAGGGCCGCAGGGCCGGGGTGGGCAGCGTAGTCTGCTGGCACGGCGGCGTCGATAGATTGTTCCCACAGTTCTGACACTTGTTGCTGTCGTTACTCGGTTTGTTGCACTTCACACACATCCTCGAGCAGACGGTCAACCGGAGAGGCTGCCGACATAAAACACTCGTTAGAGAGGCGATAAAAGGTTTTGTTCTGGTCACTACAACAATCTGAAAGTTACAAGCAGATGATTTAATTACAGATTTTCTTCTTTATTCCACTGAAGACGAGAGTCTGTATGAGTGAGAGAATTAATGAAATTGTTTCAGCTCAAACTACGAGTCAAACGGGATCAGAAGGAAGAAGGTGGACAAACCTTAAAGAGGCTAAAAAAATAAAGTTATGTGCAGCAGAAGCAAGCAGTGAACATAACATGGAATCAGATATGGTGACCTTACTAGGAAAAACTGTTTATTTACCCATTCAGGAATCTGAGTCAGCATCTTAAACCAATATTTACTTTACAACTCCTGTGACACATAACAGCTGCCAAGCTCAGCCTCTTAAAGCTTTTTTTCACACATGTACTCCGACCTTTAACCGCCAAGACTAACACAGCTGCAGTTCCTTTAATGTCCACCAGAGGCTCCAGCAGGGGGTCAGCCCCATAGAAATAAAGGTGTGAAAACTCGCCCGCTCATTTGTGTTCAGGCTTGATGTTTATTTGACCCGTCTAAAGGATGTGTTGCTGGAGCCTTTTGAAGTACTTTTACTGTGCAGTTAGCAGTACTAACAGACTGTCTAAGACACCTGTACTCCAGATTTGGTTTAGTGCTTTCAAAACTGAGCAAACACCACATTAAATAATTTGTCTTGATTCAACTGAATCATCCAGGTCTGGAAATGTTGATTCATGTGGATGTAGTGTTTGGTCCTCAGACTGAGGATGAGTGACAAAATGTTTTTTCCCCACTGAAAATGATAAAACAAACCCCTCATACATGCAATCACCTCTGTTACCGTTGGGTGGTGTCGATTTTTGTCCCCACAGTCGATTATTTCACAGCCAAAAGTCTGATTTCTCGTTTAAATGATTGTGTTGCAGCCCCTTCTGTGTGCATGAAGCTTCAGCTGGGCAGCAAACTGTACAGTCATCACTTTCACAACATAGTTGACGCATTATTATTTAAAAATAAATAAATCACAGATTTTAAATGAATGAATTCATCTAACGTCTTCCACACGGGATGGATAAACTCTGCATTGTTCCCCAGCTCTTCACTCTGTTAGTTTGGACCGTGGCGAATAACCACTTCCTGCCAAACATCCATCAGTTTGTCTCCGACTGTTTGCCGAGTGTTGGGTTCTCTCACCTCTGCTGCTTTGACCTGCGAAGAAAAGCTGCATCCCTCCAGCGGTTTCCTCTTCTGCTGGACACGACGTTTTATGTTCAGGGTCTCCTCCTCTGTAAGATGAACCCATAAAAGGATCAACAGGTGGCATCATTCTGAAAACCTTCCTGGACAAAGACAAGGCAGCGTGTGTGCAGTCTGGGAGGCGAAACCCAGGGCGAACTAGTGCAGCGGGCACGAGCTGCCGCGTACTAACAGTCCCACATGATCTTATTAAGTGAGACTGGAGAAGTGTACATTTTTAAGTGGAAATGCTCAGTGCGCTCACAGGTGTCCAAATATTGATTCATGGCGTTTTATTATGAGCAGTGAAACATGCCTCAGCACGTAACGAAATTCTTTTATTCTCTCTGAGCTCCTTTAATCACTTTAACTGGCAAAATTAAAACTACTGATAAGAAAACCTTCCTCTCCAAGGTCACACTTTATTTTGAAAATATCTTTTGCAAAATAACCCAATGGCCTTCAGAGCCTGGCATTTATTAGCTCAGCAAATGTTTTTCTAAGTTTCCTGCATCTGCTGGGAGCTTGGAGGATTAATGTGGGAGGCCTTGGGTCTCCTCCTCCTCGTCCTCTGGCAGGAACAAGGAGGAGGCTGAGCCCAGATCTGTAGCCCTGCAGACGCTGCTGGCTGTCACACTCAGCGAGCACACACACGCAGCCCGCTTACACAAACGTTACACAAATACAGACACCGAGTAGCACTCATCTTACACACACAGATGCCGAACACATCACGCACACACAGCGTGCCTGTCGAAACTCAACACCAGCCAACTGCCTGTAATCGCCAGCAGCCTGATCTCGGGAAAGTCTTTAAAAACATGCAGTGCGATGCGCTCAGTGTGCTGTGAGGTTACCTGGCATCTCTGGGCAGGTGAGGACGATGTTGTCTACCTCGAGAGTTTGCTGTGTGGTGGAGAAGTCGTTTCTGCAGGAGAAGGGGACCAAAAAAAACAAACAAAACATAAATACTTTGGTAACCTCTGGCAAAGCTGGCAGTTCATGTTCTCAGCAAATCCAGATCTTCACTCTGACTTTCAGACATTTTTTTTTTTTTTCTGTAAATTGAGAAACTTTAAAAATAATCTTGATCGTGGTGGAGACACCGCAGGCTAAATAATTAACAGGCTGAACACTGAGAGGCTTAACCGGGCTTAAAATAAACACAAACCTCTCACGGAGACTGATGGTGTCTGAAGCTAAAAATCACAAGAAACAGATGCTGCCATAAAAATTAAGTCATTTATGAAGCAATTAATGATAAATATTTACTGATTCCAGGTTTTCTGATGAGAGCACTTACAAAGAGTCTGTTGTACAACTTTGCAAACGGAACGGTTTGGCACTCTGGCTGAAGAAAATTCGTTTTAGGTGTTTGATGGGATATTTATGATGGAGACTGAGCACTAGAGGCATGCAAGTAAAGCTTCCAGAGCCGTTTACATTTGATTTTGTCCCAGTATCTTTGGATGGGACTGAAGTTCTTCATTTTCCCCTCTCATAACCGTCCAACGGCACAAAACAAACAGTCAACAAAAGGCTCCAAGAGCTAAACATCTTAGAAATATGCCGAGTTTCATGAGTGCTTCTTCAATGTGCATAATTTCTCCGATCATCAGCTTCACAGGGGTCCAATTTTTTTAATTTTATGTATATATGGGGAGTGTGAAACGACCGCTGTAGCTGGTAGCACTTTTAAATGGAATCATGTGAGTTCAAGTAATCAAGTAATTCCAACATAGTGAACAACAGACCATCCAGCAAGTTTGGCTTTCAGTCTGGTATTTTATGGAGGTTGAGATCCTTCTTCATTCAGAAAAACCTCAACACTTCACACCGTTATTGAAACAATAACTGTGAAAAACATGCCCTGAGTAACTTTGCTGGAAAGAGTGTTTCCATCAAACAGTCATGAAACTTAAGCAAAGCAAAAACTGACAAAATGTGCTGAGCACAAAAACAAACAAACAAAAAACCTTTAGAAACAAATGAGAGGATCAACGATCCAGGGCCATGAAATGAGCTCCGGTTAGTTCGGATCAAAGCCTTACCTTTCCTTCAAATCAAGGCTGCTTGAAGATGAAAATCAAGAGAGAAAAACATCTCACTAATGCAATCAAGTCCTGCACTGTAATTCATTTTCTGCAGCTGCAGTTCTATTAAACGTATTTCTCTGCAGCACACTTCCTTTTACACACAGGAAGACTATAAAAGGAACCCGAGCACATCTCTTAGATTCAAATTACTTTCATCTACTGTCAAGAAGATCTCATGCTTATCAAGCATCAGCTTAGTTTTATCTAGTTAAGGAACATTTACGCAGCCTGTTTCCCAACAGTGGAATTATAGGGATGTAAAAGCTAAACGGTGGTTTTTCAGAATGACTCCAGTATGAAGCAGCACTCACTCTGAGGTAACACGATTCCTGAAGTCATAGCTCAAGCAAATTTCACACATAAACAGCAGGAGAGGGAGCTAGCAGTATCGAGCGTGCAGGAGACGTTCGTGATGTGTTTATGGGACCTCGGAGGCGTCCATGCATCCTTTCGATGCAGAGGAGCAGCGGCTGTACTCTGAGCCCCCGCTGATCAAGTGTCCAGACACCCTTCAAAGAAAACTCTGGAGGGTGCTTGTATCCACGGTTCGTGACGACGGGTGAGGGTGGGAAACAACTAAACTGAGAGCTTGGCTTTCATGCTCCACCACCATAGAGAGGTATAGCATCCACATCAGCGCAGATGCTGCAAAAATCTCCTGCTCCCTCCTCTAATCACAAACAAGACCCCGAGATACTTAAACTCCTCTGGCTGAGCCAGCAGCTCCCTCACACTGGGCACTTTTCCGTGGCATCATTTGCCGATGCTCCTCCCAGCCACATCGCTCTCAGCTACAAAGTGAAGCCAAGAGAACTTCATCATCCACAAAAGACCAGAACCGCTCCATCACTGGGCTGCACCAGGAAATTCTGTCACACAGAAGTTATGACCAGAGTCACCGACCAGAGGCAATGTAGAACGAGTCTGAGCCTGTCGGCAGCAAAGTAAACCGAGGACTCGTAGCTGCGCAAGAATCAAACATCACGTCACCACAGGCCTGATGCCGCACACTACCACAGCACCCCCCACAGGACACACTCAGGGACGCAGTCCAAAGCCTTCTCTGTGTGAAGCGCTCCGAGTGCTCAGGTACAGTAGAAAATGTCTACATCCATTATGTTTTGCTACAGTAATTGAGTGACATGTATGCACATATACAAGAAGACTGCAAAAGGGAGCAGCTATCATCCAGGTGAAACCACTTCACGCAAGGCGAGTTGCCCGAGATTCACAGAATTTACAGAAAAAGTAAAAATGTTGTGTTAAATATCGTTGTCTGGACGATAAAGGTCTTATATCAGGATATGAGATTTGTCATATCGCACAGCCCTATCTCCAAGTAAGCCAGAAAGAAAAAAAAAAAAAGGAGAAAAATAAAAAACAAATCTGCAGTTGTACAAGAAGTTGCTCGGACTGGCTCTGTCTCACCTTTGGACTGGTTTCCTTATTGCGGAGGGCAGTTGTGCGTGCTGAAAGTGGCGCCCTTGTATAAAAATTCCTTGTGAAGGTGCAGACGTTAGGCGTGTGGGTCCGTTGGACATGGACGGCACCACGACTGTGAGAGGGCCCTCACTGCAGGAGAGACAGAAAGAACACATTAACCCTTTAACACAAAGACAGACACACAAAACATGAATTCACTCTGAAAATATTTTTACCCACATTCAGCCCCAAAGATTCTTTCTTTAGTGTGCCTGTAGTTTTAAGTAATGAGACCATAACACAACTGAACATATTATATAAATAAACAGTAACCAGGCAACAAGTGAAGTCAACAACTGTAGTTCTGCTAACAGCCACCTGAGGCTCCACAAGCATCCAACTTTACATGTTTACAACCAAGAAACATTTAGCCATTATTCACATCACACCAGCTGCCAAAGGGGTTAATTCTATGTTAATGACACAATTATACTTTATTAAGGCTTACAGTCTATCACTGAGGCCTGACTTCATTTCAGAGAATTCAAACCACTGACATGGTCCTTATTAATCAGACTTTGTGCAGTTTGAGACTTTGAGCCTTTTTAAGGGATTTATGGATGCAGGTTTATAACAAACCAAGCTACAATCATCTGATAACCTAATACTCCGCCCTCTGTTGTGGTCACTTCTGACTCCATTGCCTGCAAACGGAGAGCTTATACAAACAGCACGCAGCATACCTGAGCCTTTTAGGTGCCAGCCTGGTCAGAGGCTTCATGTGATTATTCGTCCGGTTTTCATACGTCCTCAAGGAATCCGAGGGAGTGAAGTGCCTAAGAGTGGGAGACTGGAGACGTATATTATTATTATTATTATTATTACAACAACAAAAAAGAAAAAGAAAAAAGGAAGCCAGCAGTTTGAGACAAAACAAGATAAACAGTCAGCCTACAGACAAACCAGTAAACCTTAAAGTTTTGCACTTTGGTGAAACCCGATGCAACAAATTTCCTGCCACTGAGAATTACATCACTCGCTTCCAGATCTGAAATGTGAAGCAACACGGAAGTGCCTTTAAACTGCATTCTTTCTAACGACCAGTAGGGGACAGCAACTCTGGGTTCAGGAAGTTCACCTGTATAGAAGTGTATGGGAAAACCACCCAACATCTCACTTCATTTCTGAGATCAGTAAACAGTCTTCTGATCAGTGCATGATCCAAGCTGCTAGTTTCAAATCTTACTGAATACAGGATTATTATTATTAAAATAATATGAATATTATTTTGTAAATAAAAACGCACCACCAACCAACCGGGTGAATTTGTCAGTATTTTACTGACAAATAGTGCCACAGATAGTGCTGAAGACACTGAAATTTAGAATACAGTTGTGGCAAATCTTTTGAACCTTTTAGTACAAATCTGTGTTCCCAGTCTTTTTTTTTTTTTTTTTGCAAAAATCAGTCATTTTTCTTAATTTCAATTTTCTTAATGTTCCCTTTTAGCATTTTGGATTCCTGGTCAGAAAAAAACATTTAAAATGACATCAACAGCAGTTTTAAACTGATTAACAGACAGTGATGCATTTAATTATGATTTCCTGCATTTTCAACCTCATAGGCTTCATTTAGTTTTTCAAACGGGCATAAATGAGCGTTGTTGTAATGAAGACAATGTTACACACAAGTCTCGAAAATTAAAAAACATCCAGTTGACTGCAAGCTCATCCTCGAGAGAATCACTACAGGCCAACGCCCACCAAGAGCTCACATTTTCCCCAACAACATCATCATCAGCTGCCCTTAAAATCGACTCCCACGACGCCCCGGCAGCCTGAGCTCATAGCTTGCCAGGGTCCTTCGGGTGCCACGCCGGGCGCCAAACAGATTCTGGCATCGTCTGCTCCGACTGCGGGACTGATCGAAGAGCACCACGGCCCACTGGGAGTCCATGCCACCGGCGGGTGGGAGTCAGGAAATGCGACGGGGAGAAGAG